AGTCAGTTAGTTTAAGAGTTCCCTTTTGAAGGGTTGCCCTTATGTCCTAGCCTTTGTAGGTAAGTAGTCTTTGGTTTCACAGATGCCTCCAGAAACACCCTCTGATTAAAGCTAAAGCCTCAGATTGCTAATTGCAATTATAATCAGGGAATGTAGTGCAGGCTCCACCCACAAATGACCAAGACAAAGCTTTATCACTGACAGAAACTGGCCGTGCTCCCAGATGTGCTGTGGCCCAAAGACAAACACAGGTCACAGTTTCAAGTGTAGGGGCAGGTCAACAGCATCAAGTGTAAGCCTGGCACTGGCATAAAATTCCAAAATTCCACGTATCACATCAGATTGTGGTGATCAGTGCCTTTAAGCACACACGCCGCTGCCTCACACACATCCACCAGTCAGGTCAAGGAATATCTATGCTGTGTTTTATGCTGAATAGAAATCTTGTATGTTCAGTAAATGTCAGTGTTTCTATCAGTTTCCAGCAGCAGAGAGAAAAGTCCCCTGTACCCAGCTGTGTGTCCATGAAGAGTGATCGGTCTATGGGTCGTCTGATTGACTTCAAAGATGGACATCCTTCTTTTGACCCACTGTAAGTACTTAATGTAGGTTCAACAGATGGATTTGCTGTGAGACAGATACAGAATTGGTTGCTCATCATTTGTTTGCATCTGGTCTTCATCAGGATCAATCATGACAGAACACACCATCTGTAAATAACTTATAGTTGTGTTTAAAAATCCCAAACTGTAAATAGTCTATGCTGCAAAAATAATATGAGTAATCAAACTAAAATGGAAGGAGTCTTTGCATGTATGTATGTCCTTTGATTTTCTTAACACCCAATCAACTTCACGCATTGTGCATCTATTGCTGAGGGACCCAGGGAAGTGCAGTGTCAAGTGCAACCACTTGAGATCTATGGGACACAATTATTAATAGAGCATGATTAGCACACTGTGTAGTGTATTGAGGGGGGACGCTTAACTGTTACGCTGGTGAACGGCATGCTGGGTACAGCTTGCTCTCCATCACTTGCTATAGTACATTCAAGAATGGAAGAAGAAAGAAACAGTAATGGGATCTTACAGTGAAGCAAATTCAAACTTTTCAAGCGTCAGTGTAAGAAAGTCTACTGTTATCTGTTCTCATTGTTATAAGTGTTTTCAAGCCCCCTCTGTAATTGTGAGTTTTTCTGACTTGCTGTAGTTTGATNCATTGTTATAAGTGTTTTCAAGCCCCCTCTGTAATTGTGAGTTTTTCTGACTTGCTGTAGTTTGATCCTGGCGCACTTGCCGTAGTTGATGATGTCATACCCCGTTAAGGCTAGACCTATGCGCATTTTCCATGGATGAGCAGCTGTGGATGCCTGTTGTGTGCGTTCATGCACAAACGTGAGTCTCAAACTCTTTTGCTAATGGTAGACCACTCAGTATTGTTGGTATTATCAGCCCTGTAATCATTCTTTGAGTGCTTTCTGTTGTTTCTGGGTTTAATGCATCATTTTCTTGGTACATGGTTCCGAGCATGTGGACAGGGTGACATATTTCTTGCTAATATAGCCTATTTGCCTTTATATTTTGATCTTATGAGTGTCATACATGATGAATGTGCCTATGGGGTTTGGTAACTTGTTGTTTTTTTGATAATTGTGTACATAAGCACATGTCCTCATTATTTTAGCGGTATTTCGCCATGTGGCCGTTTCTAGTACTGCAGTGACGCCATTTTGCCAATAGAGGGCACTGTTGACCACAGAATCATTCATTATGGCCAGTAATGGAGGTGCAATGTATGTAAACCAGGGTGTTTAGATGCAAATTGAACAGTCCATTTTTGGTTAATTATTTAAGAGGAATAATAATGTTTTTGATTTATATAAAATAATATGTCATTGAAGATTTATACTATGTTTTATTTCTTCTGTTTCATTTAGTACCACACACACACACCCTCACCTGTATCCACAATACCTTGTGCTCATCCCTGACCTGTAATTGCCCACCGTGATCATTAAAGTTTTTGGATTGAACGCTCCCTGCCCTACTCACTGATCGGAGTCCCTGTCGTTAAAGCAACTATCACGCCAGCATCCCAGAGATACTATCTCTTTCACAGTCAGCGATATAACTTTTGGAATTACTGCTTTGGTTCCCAGATGTAGTCTTCTCTAAAAAGCTAGCTGTTAGCAAATGATGTGCACACTCTAGCATTGTTAGGTCAAACAAGTATTTCATGGCGGGTGTATTGCTCAGGACCCAGACAAGAATGGTATTGAGTGTAAATCTGTTTGGATGAATGGTTCTTGGGAAAGCTGCAAGCAGCAATACCAGAGGCCAAACTGTTGGCTCGTTCCAAACAGGCACTGCACTAATTCTTCCTAATTCCTCCACAGAGTGGACCAGGAGAGCTCAGAGGTTCCCAGTGGTCAGTCTGCCCAGCAGCATCAAACACACCTGGACTCCATATTTATGGTCTGTACATGTACAACAACTACTTTAACATCTATTCTGTACACAATCATCTCCATGCTGAACTTTTTACACCAGTGGATTGTCAGTGTGTCCAACATGGATCTGATGTTTGAGTGTGTCATTCATATAATATTCTGTTCCAGCTGCTGGAGGAGAACATCCTCACTTTTGTGAAGAACGAGCTGAAGAAGATACAGAAGGTTCTGAGTCCAGATTACCCAGAATGCTTAGAGAGGGAGGATGGGGAGGTGTTGGATGGTGAGGATGAAGAGCAGAGGAGGAGCAGCAGAGAGGCATTTCTGAAGATCACACTGAACTTCCTGAGGAGAATGAAGCAGGAGGAGCTGGCTGACTGTCTGCAGAGCAGTAAGAGGATTTCTATAAAGATTTAACATGATGGATAAATGGGACGTTTACTAATGTCTCAAGAGACGGACCAAAATATATTCATATACTCATTCTTTGAGGAAATGACATGTTGAAATATTTTCTTTGTCTTACTGATCTTCTTTGTTGTGTTCATTCAGGAAGTTATTCTGCAGTCTGTCAGCGTAAACTGAAATCTAACCTGCAGAAGAAGTTCCAGTGTGTGTTTGAGGGGATCGCTAAAGCAGGAAACCCAACCCTTCTGAATCAGATCTACACAGAGCTCTACATCACAGAGGGAGGGACTGCAGAGGTCAATGATGAACATGAGGTCAGACAGATTGAAACAGCATCCAGGAAACCAGACAGACCAGAAACAACCATCAGACAAGAAGACATCTTTAAAGCCTCACCTGGAAGAGATGAACCAATCAGAACAGTGATGACAAAGGGAGTGGCTGGCATTGGGAAAACAGTCTTAACACAGAAGTTCACTCTGGACTGGGCTGAAGACAAAGCCAACCAGGACATACAGTTCACATTTCCATTCACTTTCAGAGAGCTGAATGTGCTGAAAGAGAAAAAGTACAGCTTGGTGGAACTTGTTCATCACTTCTTTACTGAAACCAAAGAAGCAGGAATCTGCAGGTTTGAAGAGTTCCAGGTTGTGTTCATCTTTGACGGTCTGGATGAGTGTCGACTTCCTCTGGACTTCCACAACAATGAGATCCTGACTGATGTTACAGAGTCCACCTCAGTGGATGTGCTGCTGACAAACCTCATCAGGGGGAAACTGCTTCCCTCTGCTCGCCTCTGGATAACCACACGACCTGCAGCAGCCAATCAGATCCCTCCTGACTGTGTTGACATGGTGACAGAGGTCAGAGGGTTCACTGACCCACAGAAGGAGGAGTACTTCAGGAAGAGATTCAGAGATGAGGAGCAGGCCAGCAGAATCATCTCCCACATCAAGACATCACGAAGCCTCCACATCATGTGCCACATCCCAGTCTTCTGCTGGATCACTGCTACAGTTCTGGAGGATGTGATGAAGACCAGAGAGGAAGGAGAGCTGCCCAAGACCCTGACTGAGATGTACATCCACTTCCTGGTGGTTCAGACCAAAGTGAAGAACATCAAGTATGATGGAGGAGCTGAGACAGATCATCACTGGAGTCCAGAGAGCAGGAAGATGATTGAGTCTCTGGGAAAACTGGCTTTTGATCAGCTGCAGAAAGGCAACCTGATCTTCTATGAATCAGACCTGACAGAGTGTGGCATCGATATCAGAGCAGCCTCAGTGTACTCAGGAGTGTTCACACAGATCTTTAAAGAGGAGAGAGGACTGTACCAGGACAAGGTGTTCTGCTTCGTCCATCTGAGTGTTCAGGAGTTTCTGGCTGCTCTTCATGTCCATCTGACCTTCATCAACTCTGGAGTCAATCTGATGGAAGAACAACAAACAACATCCCGGTGGTCTAAAGTCTTCAAAGACAAACAGAATCTGAAGTATCTCCACCAGAGTGCTGTGGACAAGGCCTTACAGAGTCCAAATGGACACCTGGACTTGTTCCTCCGCTTCCTCCTGGGTCTCTCACTGCAGACCAATCAGAGACACCTACGAGGTCTGCTGAGACAGACAGGAAGTAGCTCACAGACCAATCAGGAAACAGTCCAGTACATCAAGAAGAAGATCAACCAGGATCTGTCTGCAGAGAGAAGCATCAATCTGTTCCACTGTCTGAATGAACTGAATGATCGTTCTCTAGTGGAGGAGATCCAACAGTCCCTGAGTTCAGGAAGTCTCTCCACAGATAAACTGTCTCCTGCTCAGTGGTCAGCTCTGGTCTTCATCTTACTGTCATCAGAAGAAGATCTGGACGTGTTTGACCTGAAGAAATACTCTGCTTCAGAGGAGGCTCTTCTGAGGCTGCTGCCAGTGGTCAAAGCCTCCAACAAAGCTCTGTAAGTACAGAGACAGTTGGATTCATATATCATAACTTAAATGCTTTGTTGTCTTTTCAACTTACTATCTTTTTGTTCTTTATGATATTGTCTCTGTAGGCTGAGTGACTGTAACCTCTCAGAGAGAAGCTGTGAAGCTCTGTCCTCAGTTCTCAGCTCCCAGTCCTCCAGTCTGAGACACCTGGACCTGAGTAACAACCACCTGAAGGATTCAGGAGTGAAGCTTCTGTCTGATGGACTGAAGAGTTCACACTGTACACTGGAAACTCTCAGGTCAGATCAAGCTGCAGACCATCTGAAATTTCAGATATTTCTCTAAATTCCTGTAACAGCCCTCTTACCTTAGAGCTTAGATCGGGCCCAAAAAATCCAGCCTGACCCGGCCCGAGCCTGTGCATGTTGTGTCCGGGACCGGCGTGGCCCGTCCAATTATCTATAATTATGGGCCAGAGCCCGATTTAAACCCGACATTTTTCAATAAGTTGGCTGTTATAATTAAGAATATTAAACCACAATTCTCCCTCAGGTGGAGGAGTTTAAGTATCTCGGGATCTAGGGTAAGATGGAGCGGGAGATTGACAGGCGGATTGGGGCGGCGTCAGCAGTGATGCAGGTGCTTAACTGGTCCGTTGTGGTGAAGAGGGAGCTTAGCCAGAAAGCGAAGCTCTCGATTTACCGGTCGATCTACGTCCCAACCCTCACCTATGGGCACGAGCTCTGGGTAGTAACCGAAAGAACAAGATCGCGAGTACAAGCGGCCGAAATGAGTTTCCTCCGCAGGGTGGCTGGGCTCAGCCTTAGAGATAGGGGGAGGAGCTTGGACATCCGGGAGGGACTCAGAGTAGAGCCGCTGCTCCTCCACATCGAGAGGAGCCAGTTGAGGTGGTTCGGGCATCTGGTAAGGATGCCTTCCAGATGCCTCCCTGTGGAGGTGTTTCAGGTATGTCCAACCAGGAGGAGACCTCGGGGCCCCCCCAGGACACGCTGGAGGGATTACATCGCCCAGCTGGCCTGGGAACGCCTCGGGGTTCCCTCGGAAGAGCTGACGGAAGTGGCTGGGGAGAGGACTGTCTGGGCTTTTTTGCTGAGGCTGCTGCCCCTGCGACCCGGACCTGGATAAGCGAAGAGCGACGAGTACGAGTACCAGTATGAGTACGAGTACGAGTACCAGAAACCACAATTCTTGTTATTTGAATGACAGAAATATAGGATCTTAATGAATGGCGCAACATGGAAGCATGATTATGTAATAAAACAGGTGTTTATTTTAGGATCCAGGTGGTGAAGGGCTGTGCAACATTGTAACTAACTTTGTTGTAACTTTATGTGTCATACAAAGTGTGGTGGCTGGGGGCGTCCCGGGCCAGGCTCGGGCAGAGATTAACTGTCACTGATTAACTCATACCAGGTGTGCTGCTGCTCCTCAGCTGTATCTGCTGGAGTCTCTCTTTCTCAACCTGGGCATATGATGTCTGGATTAAGTTGTTCTCTTTTGTGTTCATTTTCTTTGTTCATTACACTTCACCTTCACCTTCACTCAAACAACACGCAACACACTACTGATTTACATATTTCATATTGCATACCTGCCATCATTGAGCTGTTTAAAAAAAGAGGGAGATTTTCTGGGGTAACATTTGTCAAAATAAAAAATCACGGATCTTACCTTTCACGAGCTGTGTAGTCTTGGTTCTTAGCATATTTCTGAGCAATAGAGTCAGGAAACATGTCTGCAACACTTTTGCTGAAGTCATCACGTAATTAAAATGAGATGTTGTTCATTGTGACCAGCATTGCCATTTGTACCTCTGCCTTCGTAACTTTATCAGCCTCTGCCACACCTCTCAGCAAGAACGAGACAATGTTAGCAGTTCCTCTCTGTGCTTCCACTGCCTGTGTGTGTTTGCTGCAGTTAGCGTGTTTGCTCATGTCGTTTTTCCACACTAAAGTTGGCCCAACATAGCTTGCAAAACGCGTGGTACTTGCTGACATGGCACCAAGCAGGCTGAAATTTCGATGCGTACTTCTTCTTTTTGGGAGCCGTTTCATTTATTTTCAGTTTGTAATGTTCTGCCTCGAGTTTGGGCATGCACGTCAGCTTGAACGTGTGCAGTAATGCACAGCACGCACAGCACATTGGGCGGGCCGGTTGGGTTGGGTTGCCAGGTAGTACGACACACAAAACACCAATTTGACTCATAACACTATGAAATCGGGAGAATAGTGGGAGAAATTACCTATCGGGAGCAGGGCAGGAGAAAGGGTTAAAAATAGGGAGACTCCCGCGTAAAGTGTTGGCAGGTATTGCATTGGTTAAATTTTCACTTTTATTAAAGCAGCTGTGCAGAACTTTTTACCATTAATAAAACTGTCTCTAGTTCGTATCAGCGACAAAAAAGCCTTTCTCTATATGGCTATTTAGCGTAGCCTCACTCGGGTCGGACACACAGCGGAAGTCAGCAAACCAGAATACGACACCCGAGGCGGAAGAGATTCTGCTCGCCTGCAGCAGCCCGCAGCGATTAAACCACAGAAGAAGAAGGAGCCACGTTTACAGTGTTCTTCGAGTAAGCAGTACGCAACGGGCATTGCTGAACACATAACACCAAACAGTTTTACCAGTGATGTATATATGAGGACTTGGTTGTACTTTTGATGTCATGGCGGATAACGAAGGAGCATCATCTAAAATTATCTGTGACTGTGACCATGAACACAAATACACAGCAGGCAGTTGTCCTCAGTTTATAAGAAATTCAGAGCTACACCAGAACATTTATGAACAGGTCTTACTTTACTACTAATTTGTGTATAACGTTAGCATGTTAGCATGTTTCCACTAATTACTTGGACTGACCTAACGTCAGTAGCGTTAGCTTTGCAAGCGAAGGCACAGCTTTGCTGTGTTAGGATTATGTTATGTCTTCACTGTGTATCTTCACATAAAAGAATACTCCGACGATTTGGGAGTTATGCCCTTTCTCTATCATTTTCATATTGAGACAACATGATCGATATCTTTTTTGTGTCTGTACGTCCAGTGGCTGGGTCTCAGCGGTTAGCATGGCGCTTATAGGGAGTCAGTACGTCCTGCGCTGTGGTCCGCGGAGGGATACACCGGTGAGCAGGCACAGACGTAGCCTGTAAACAGAGCTCAGCTGTTTATTTAGCCTAGCGATATCTCCGGACTATAGTAGCTGCAATGGACGACTTTGAACGCGATTTTGAAGAGTTTCTTGTAGCGGACACAGATCCAGAGCCATACCTGTTTGAGCCGGAGTATACAGATGAGGAACTCCCATGTGTTGGATGCTGAGCAGGCGAGAAGAGAGGCTGAATCCTCCGCTCCCTCGGTGCTACCATCATTGGGGAGATATATCATCAGGAGGAAAAGCGCCGCAGAGAGTGCATCACAAGGAGTGAAAACTTTGCAGCAATCACTAATCCTGGCGTGATTGAAACTTTTTTTCATGTTCCTAAGATAAACTGGAAAAAACACCCAGGCCTGCAGGAGCTGATGGACAGCTTTCAGTCGGGTGAGTAATATCGTCCGTATCGTCTCTTTGTTTGCTTTTACAGAGTGACCTAGCGTACCTGTCCCAGAGCCAGCTGCAGCTGTTGCTCACCGGTGTATCCCTCTGTGCAAGATGTACTGACTCTCTACAAGTGCCATGCTAACCGCTGTCTCAATATGAAAATGATAGAGAAAGGGCATAACTCCCAAATCGTCGGAGTATTCTTTTAACATAATAATGCGGACTCAGCAGATGACTTGTTAACTGTTTATTCCTCCTTACACCGAATGTACACGGCTGCTTCTCATTGTTTCCAGTAGCACAACGGTTACTACATTACCCAGAATAACTTGAGGCTCACACTACTACGGTAGCCTGAGTAGCTCAAAATACACAACAGATTAGATGAGATCAGAACAGAAACACAACAGGAGAATTTACTGAGTAATTTTGCTGTTTCCACTAATTACTTGGACTGACCTGACGTTAGTTAATCCTCTCGCTCTCCAAAACAAATGCATGCGGTAATTGCCGGCTGCAGTCGGAATTTTACGACACCAGGCTGTGGGTGTCATACCGCTTCGACCAAAGGGGCGCTATAATCAACGAAAACGAAAAGTTCCACACAGCTGCTTTAAATATAGGGCTGGGTTAAAATAATTGATTCATCCGATTAAATCGCTCTTCACTGGGATGACCCAATATCAATTTGTAAAATCCGAGATCGATCTTTTAATATGCATTTTTTCCCACAGATGTGATGTGTGAAGCTTTAACCCTGTTAATCTCGCCGGTGTGCTGGATTATTAACTGGAGGTTGAATTAACTGGTGATAGAGACAGATGTTGTGTGGGCTTGGCCTTTGAGAACCCGTTGTCAGCTAACGAGGAAGTAAACTTTGCGATCACTTCGCATGTGTATTTCATTCATCTAAAACTGTTGTTTGCAACATTATGATAGAAACAGTATGCTGGACATCACTCACATTAATGAATCACCGTTTCCACTGATATCCTCCAAAAAGCCACAGAGATGTCAAGCCAAGACGAGAGCCAGGAGAGCACGATTCCCTGTGACATTCAGTAAACGCTTCACAATAATAAAATCTGAATGCATCCAAAATGCGAGTGGGTTGATAATATGTTATAGTCACACGATATAAGTCTATACAATACTGACGTTAGTCCGTGCCTCTGATGATTCGCGTTTCCTACACCTGTGCGCACCTGTGCATCCAAATCGCTTTAAAATGAGTTCACAGTCATGTCAAATGTTTATGAATGAGTTTAAATGAACTGTAAAGAATATCATTGTGTTGAGTGAAATTAAAGTGTGTAGCATATGGTGTAAAACACGATCGATGATAGTGTCACAAGTTAATCTGAGTGGATCACGTTACCAAAGTGAGCTGCTACACACTACACGCCAACACTTCTGACTGTATGTGTAACTCACAGGCTGTGGGAAAGCACAGACAGCTCACAGATCCACTTGATATGGAATTAATAATGATATATGATAAAGACTGATGACAGGAACATTTTGTAAACGACTTACTGACATTTACAGTTTTGTAAACAGGCATTAACAGAGACACCTACGTTGCCCAGTCCGTTGTCATCGCAATTCAACGTACGGATACATAAAATATGTAATAAATCCCACAAAGTTTTAAATTAACTGGTCGGTAGATGTTTGCGTGAGGCTGTGGTTGTGATGCAGATCTCAGGACACTTACAGAAAGGACTATAATGACATAGTACGTATCAAGGGCTCTGATTAAACTACCAGTTAATCTTGCACACCGGTAGTAAATGAGCCGCAGCTCTAAGTTATGAACGACCGTAATATTGAGACGCTCAGGTGTAATTTATTATCATACATGACTTCAACGGACTACAACGGGTCGCGCGCCAGTGACATCATAGGTGATAGAAACATGGGATTTTGACTGGCTGCAAATTCAAAATCAGAGCTCTTCACACACATAAAGTATAAATAAAAACAAATCAGTTGAATCTTTCCCCTTCGGATGAAATGGCCAGTCAGGCTACATGCTATGGGAGAGAGTTTAAGAGGTCCTGATCGCCTTCGGTACAACGAGAAAGTGAAAATGATAGGTGGTGTGTGCCCTTTTACGCACACACAGACACACATACACGGAGTGAAGACGCCACGGTGGAGACAGAGAGGTGACAATGACGTGAGTTGATGACAATTTTATGCTTGTTACTGTGAGTGCAATACAACCAGAGGTGGGTAGAGTAGCCAAATATTGTACTCAAGTAAGAATACTGATACTTTAGAACAATATTACTCAAGTAAAAGTAAAAAGTAGTCATCCAAATAATTACTTGTGTAAGAGTAAAAGAGTATTTGGTGAAAAAACTACTCAGGCACTGAGTAACTGTTGTGTAACGTCTGATTTATTTGTAAAATAAGAACATGAACGTAATCAATCAATCAAAAATAATAATAGGCAAATTCATGTATTTTAAACAATACCCCTTTAACTAAAACAAAAATAAATTAAATCTTTACAAACATAACATAAATCAAGGCACAAGAAACACAAATATATTCTTATATATACTGTACA